AGGGTGGATTGGGGCTCCGTAACTTGGAAGCGTGGAACCGGGCCCTTGTCATGAGGACCCTTTGGAATATCCAATCAAAGAAGGACTCTCTTTGTACAAATGGATCAACAATATCTACTTAAAGGAAAAATCGATTTGGGAGTGGCAAATTTCCAAAAATTACTCTCCCCTCTTCAAATCCCTCTTTGACATCCGGCTCAACTTGATCGAAAAAGCGGGTAGTGTGAGAGGTGCAGAAGGCCTTCTCCGGTTGTGGAGTCTTCATGATAAACAAGATGGCACGAGCAAATGCTATGACTTCCTCCGACCTAAGGGAAGCGTCAAGCCATGGACCGGGGTTGTTTGGGGGAGTTGCAGTACCCCCAAGCACTCATTTATCTTATGGCTTGGAGTGATGAATAGGCTCCAAACTAAGGATCGACTTGAGTTCCTTAATGAAGATCCGACATGCCCCCTTTGCGGTACCGCCATTGAAACCTTGAGTCATCTCTTCTTCAAGTGCTCGTTTAGCTCGGAGATTTGGGGTGCCATTCGTGTATGGATTAGCCTCCGTCACATGCCAACAACACTCAAAGGAGCCCTAAAGTGGACCATAAAAGAGAGAAAAGGTACGACATGAAGAGCTAAATTGAGAAAAACGGCGCTAGCGGCTACCGTATACTTTATATGGAATGCCCGGGATCGCTTGATCTTTGAAGGCGAAAACCAACCTCCAAGCCTCGTGATTCGCAAGGTAAAAACTCATGTTTATCGTACTATATTTGCCACCTACCCGGGAGTGCTTACCGAATTTGAAAGTCAATGCCTTGGTCTTGATGTGTAAAATGTGATGGGCTTGGATTGATTGAGGATAAGTGCCCTCGGTTTTGATATTTTCGAGTGAGGAGCCGACATGTGGCTACCCGCTTCGACTTGAAAGCTGTCTCGGTTGTATGACTTTCAGTTTTGATCAATACATATTTATTTAACGATAAAAAAAAACAATATTGGACAATTGTTCAAATATATTAGGAATTAATTTTTGAAATAGCTGGAAAAGAAAAAAGAAAAAAAAGCATATTTGATATCGCTGGATAAGAGAAAAATAATAAATGACGGTAAATTTTTTATTTATTATAACTAGTACAAACGCCTGCGTATTACACGGGTGCTTGCTAATTTTTTTCTTAAAATTTAAAATTACTGAAAAAAAAGTAGTTGAAAATTTAAGTACATTTTAAAAATAATAATATTATTATATTTAGTATGACACTTTTTATTTGTGCGACTTACTTGTGTTATACTATAATATTTTTTTAACTTACAACATATAACTACAATAAACATAAATATATCAATTGAGAAATAATTTTATTTTTCTAATGAATTTTAGTAAATATTATTAATTTTAATTATTATAAAGATAAATCTAATTTATTTATTTTATATATACAATATGGATGTCAAATCGAAGATCATCAAAAGATAATTAATTTAATATATTATATATGTAAAACCGATAAGAAATACAAAAGTTATCAACTTTTAAAATACATTTACAATTCAATAGCTAATTGTAGGAAACAAATAAAAAGTCAGGGATATATTAGTCACATAGTGACTCACTATCTAAAATTACAAAGAATTAAAGGGTTATATTAGTACAATTGATATTAAAATACCTAAATTAACTAAATAATATTTATAGAATACCCGAACCTAGATTATTAATTATTAATATATAATATTATTTGTCCAAACCTAACTACGAAGCATGATTCTTCGCCAAGTAAGATTTCGAAGCACCAGAAACAGCCACATAGGCTCAGTGCATTCTGAAATTATATATAAGGAGGATTAGAAAGTTGAACAGGAATTAATTTATATTTTTACTATGTACTTAGTAAATAGACAACCTTGTTATATAATAATAGTATAATACAAGATTATATGGGTACATGTACTGGTTGCATTAAAAAATGAAAGCAATCGTATTTAAAAAAAAAAAAAATAAGAGTCGAGGACTTTGAAATGATGACCAACAAAATCATAGGAGGGGTGATGATAAGAAAAAATGTTGTTTGTTTCTATTGCTTTTTTTTCTAAAAAAAAAAATATGTGAAAAGGTCCAAAAATTATATGTTTCTCGCACGTACGCCGCACCTATGTTTCTCCAAATCGTGGGGACACTGTTAGTATGATTGGCCAATTAAGATTACGATGATCACCTCATTATTACTTACTATCTTTTTGTTTGGATTTTCTCAATATTGAGTTCTTACTGTTCATTCGATGGCTCTGTTTTCTGCATCTCCTAGTTGCTCATGTTTCTTTTAATAAAATACAAGTAAACATAATTATATTTTAACGAGTGTTTAAATAAACAAATACTATATATATAATAACTTATTTTATGAAACATCAAAGTTTTGTTTTAAATAAGTATTGCATATTTTTTTTGAAACTAATGCTCTCCTACCCAAGGTGGGCACATGTTAATATGCCCACTGTTTATATAGAATGCACACATTTGTAATGTATTTTTTTGAACATATTAACATCACCAATGTGTGCATGCCACATAAGCGGTGAACATATTAACATGTGCCTACCATGAATAGATGAGCATTATCTATTTTTTGAAAATTATATTATTAATTATTTAAAATTAGGCTGTGTATTACATGTTTCCATCATAATTTTAATCACATTAGCTCAACACTCATGAGCTACATTAATTCAAATAAGCCTGTTAGAAATTTTTATTTTAACTAGTTTATCAACTAATTTTATTAAACACTTTTATCATATAAATTGGGTTTTCAATTATAAATCACAAGTGATAAGCTACAAGCTCAGAAATTACCGATAAACCATAAACTAACTTATCAGCTACCAGCTAGTTTTACCAAATATAGTCTAAGTCATAAGTAATAAGCTCGAAAATTAATTACTGATAAGCTATAAGCTAATTTATCGGCACAAATTTGAAAATATAGGCCCCGTTTGGAAGATAGCGGATTGAAGATAAAATAGCGGATTAGCCTTAATTGAGAGGTTTGACCCGTCAAAACTGCTATTGAACATGTTTGGTAAATAGCTTATTTGATAAGCTTTTGGACCCAAAACTCTAATTTAGAAAAAAGCTTATTAGAGCAGCTTTTTGAGATGGAGGATTCACAAAATTAATTTACTTGGAACTTTTGAACTTGTATTATTTATTTTACAATCTTCATTGGTTTATGATGCTAATAAATAATAATGTGTCATCCATATGATTAACTTATCTAGAAAAATTTAAAATTCATAACTTCTTCATCAAGTGTTAGTGAATTTTAAAAAAATAATAATATATTTATAAATTACCAACTAAAGAGTATCAAATGTTTAAATCTATTATTGTTAAAAGAATACACCCTAAATAATAAAATGACATTATTGGTCATTTTGCAATGTCAAACAACTATAAGATTTCAGCTATTTACCAAACACTTATTTAAAAATCGCTAATGCAATTCGCTGGTTAAATCAGCTAATATAATACGCTATCCGCTATCCGCTATCTGATATCCGCTGATCGCCAAACAAGGCCATAATACTGCAAAGGGTAAGACGGTAATATCAGCTGTAATCAGTGGCATATAACTATTGTTCCACCTATATAATGGGCCTAAAGACCCCATTATTTCTCTCACGTTGAGAAGCACACACACACAACGTCTATAGAAAAGGAATTACAGAGCGTTACTGTGTCCTAGGGTTTCAGCTTCTTCTTCCGCAGCCGCAACCACACAAAGCTTGTTAGTGACCATTTTATTCTCTTGCATTCTGTATTAGCGCACGATTTTTGTGGTTTTTGATTTTCGTTTGCTTCTTTTGTTTTTGTTTTGTAGGATTTGTTCTAGATCGTCGATTTACGTTTTAAGGGGTGATTGTTTACGCCAGAGCCTAAACATTTGTTGATGTAAGTGTGTAATCTTGATGTTTTTGTCGTGTTTCTGATGTTTGGATTATCAATGTCTGTTCTGTAAGTTGAAATGAAAAATGCTATTCGAATTTTGGTTAAGATGTTGTAATAATGGAAGATGATTACAGGGACATCAGCTATTAGAATGTTTTTTTGGTTTTGATGATAGGGTGATAAAATGTTGGCCTATATAGATCTGAGATTTTCTTGTATTTCAGATCTGGTTTTGATTCTGTGATCCTTTATATTCCTGTGCAAAATAAATGATTAACAACTGTGTATAATTGAATGATTATTATCTGACTAAGTATGTATTGTGTAAATCCTCTGTCGATTGCTCATAGCTCATGCTTGTAAATTTGTAGTTATTATGCTCCTTTCCTCATTTCTCTTGTTGAATTCTTCTTCAAGGTAGTATTTTCCTTCAAGTTTTAATATATCGTATAATGTTCTCCTGCTATGAATTATATTTTATGGCTTGTGCTTTATTTGTTACTTGTTCTTGGTTAAACGCATCAGACATTTGTATGGTATCAACCATCTTTTGCTTGGTCATAATTCCTATGACTGACTGTATGTGGTCATTTTTCAGAAAACAAATTCATGATCTAATGGAGTCGAAGGGTGGGAAAAAGAAGTCCAGTAGTAGTAAATCCACATTCTACGAAGCTCCCCTTGGATACAGCATTGAGGACATTCGACCAAACGGTGGCATCAAGAAGTTCAGATCTGCTGCATACTCCAACGTAAGTTACATCGTCCCTTTGATAAGTATATTCAGTGATTCCGAGCCATCTGCTTAACCAATATATAAGTATGTATATTATTTTAATGATAATTTCATTTATCCTTTGCAGTGCGCTCGCAAGCCGTCCTGATACTCCTAAGCTAGCCCCCGCATCACGTCGTTTGGCGTGGTGAATCAATTTACGGCTTTAAACTTTTACTGCTTACTAGTTTTTCCTTTTAGCTTTTTGCCTGCACTCCTTTTCTTCATTCTCCATCAGCCACCTCATCTGCTGTCTGCTGTTGTTTTGAGCATACTTGTCTCGAAATGGCTCTTTCTGCATCTGCAATTGGTTTTGAAGGATTCGAAAAGAGGCTCGAAATCTCCTTTTTAAAGCCCAACATCAGTGCCGACCCTGAAGGAAAGGGATTGCGTTCCCTTTCCAAATCACAATTGGACGAAATTCTGGGCCCTGCCGAGTGTACCATAGTAGCCTCACTATCTAACGAACACTTGGATTCATATGTCCTTTCCGAGTCAAGCCTCTTTGTCTATCCTTATAAGATCATCATCAAAACTTGCGGGACAACAAAATTGCTTCTTTCCATCTCGCCCATTCTGAAATTGGCTGAGTTGCTTTCTCTTTCGGTTCAAACCGTGAAATACACACGTGGGAGCTTCATCTTCCCCGGAGCCCAGTCATACCCCCACCGTAACTTTTCTGAAGAAGTTTCTGTCCTTGATGAATATTTTGGAAATCTCGGCACCAGCAAGGCCTACGTCATGGGAAATTCTGATGAATACCATAAATGGCACGTGTACTCGGCCTGTGCCTCCTCTGTCGAAGCTTCTTCTGACCCTGTTTACACTCTCGAGATGTGCATGACTGGTTTGGACAGGGACAAAGCTTCTGTCTTTTACAAACAAGAATCGAGCTCGGCTCTTCTCATGACTAAAAGCTCTGGCATACGAAACATCTTGCCAGAATCTGAAATCTGCGACTTTGAGTTTGAGCCGTGTGGATATTCCATGAATTCGATTGAGGAAAGGGCAATTTCAACCATTCACGTCACGCCGGAGGATGGCTTCAGCTATGCGAGCTTTGAGGCGGCCGGGTATAACCTGAAGCGTGTGGGTATTGACCAGCTGGTCGAGAGGGTATTGGCTTGCTTTAACCCGAGTGAGTTTTCTGTGTCTGTGCATGCCGAGTTTGGAGGCAAGTTGGTTGAAGATCTTTGTGGGCTGCTGGATGTTAATGGTTACGTTTCTGATGAGACGAGTCTCAAGGAGCTGGGGTCGGGTGGGTCGATTGTCTACCATAAGTTTCTGTGTACTAAAGCATTTTGTGGATCACCCAGGTCCACTCTCAAGTGTTATGGGGGTGAGGATACTGAAGAAGAAGAAGAAAAGGAGTAGCATTTATCGGTTTTTATATTTTATCTGCTTGGAATAAAATTTACGCAAATGCTGTTTGGTCATAAACAATCTATTTGGTTGTGCTCTGTATTTTTATTTTGTTGTGTTTTTTTCTGGACTATGTTGCTTTGTATTATCGGCCCTTCAATGGGTCTCTGCTTTTATGTTGCTGAATAAATGTTGAACTGGTTTTGATTTGATACAATATATTGTTTGTTTGGATATGAAATGTTTTTCAAGTTACATCTTGGTGTATGGGTCTTTGCTTTTAGAACTAATCTCCCTTCTCCATTTAATATAAATGCCTAGTATTATTGAGTTTAATGTCAGTTGTGTATATATATATATGTATAGCTTCCACTAACCGTAACTTACTGTACACATTTAAATTTTGATTCTATTTGAGGGGAAAATTCTAGTATAGGGCTCAACTTTTAAGTATTCTATCATATTAAGGCCTCAATTTATATCTTTTTCAATACAAGATCTCAAATTTTATATATTCTTAATTGAGGGTTCATATTTATCTTTTAACTCTTAAATTAAGGCTTATTACTAACACTGTTACTTAACAGTTAATTAAACATGATATTAATTTTTTTTCTTGTTTATTTAAAAAAAAAAGCAGAAGAACAATTCTCTTTTTCTCATACGAACAGTTCTATTTTTCTCTGTAAATCCTCAATCATCTCAATTTCAATCCATGTGTCTCTCAAAACCTCCGATGGCGAGCAAAGAAAGGATTAGCTCACGTAAAGCCTTCCGAAAATTGCAGCGAGCGATGTGTTGCTATTCATGAGATCTGAACTTCGAATTGCAATTCATTTTGTCATGTTTCGTAATTTTTAGCTTAATTTGTCTTGATGGACAACAATAAAGTCGTGATTTTGGATATCTAGTTGCCACCGTGCCGGTGGCCGAGATGGAGAGGCACACAGCCAGCGTGAACGCCATCTCGTGGGCCCCGTAGAGCTGAGGCTCATATGCTCCGCCGGGGCGAAGGACGGGTCGTGTTGTGGGAGCTGCCCACGGTTGCCGGATCCAACGGGATTGATCCGATGTTGTTGTACTGGGTAATTGGAGGGTAAAACTTTTGCATAGCGTGTTGTTGTTTCACATTTTGGAGATGGGATTGTATATGAAGGCCTTAAAACAAGTATATATGTTTGGGAAATTTGCTTTGTTATTTTTCATATCTATTTCAGGCTCAGTGTTTTTGTACATTTCTAATTGGTAATATGCAAATGCATTGTTGCTTTGTTACAAGACTTCTTTCTTTATCTTCTTTTTTGTATCTACATTTTTTACTTTGGTTTCAAATTAATGGTGGCTCTTGTTGTACATATATTGTATATGTGTGTGTGTGTGTGTGTGTGTGTGTGTTTTATTATTCTTTCTGGTGTAATTTTGTTGTGGAATTTGTGTTGGGTAAATTGGTAGAGGGTTATTAAACATATGCAGCTTGAAGTTTCAAAGACAAAAACAAATTTGGAGGACTTGTAAAGGAAAACTTAATTGTAAATATACTGCATACATATGCCAAACTTGCATCTGAATAAATTTGTAAGTCTTGGAAAGGAATTTTAACTCTGACCACACTCACTTTGAATTTTCGAACATATGATAAACTTGTGATGATTTTAACCCATCCAAATCTAGTCTGCTAGTTTACATGAGAGGAGTATAAGAGGCTTCATTTCGGTTTTGGACGTTTAACATTACCTGTGTAGAATGGTATAAAGAGTCGAGACTGATCCTACAATATACTTTCCCTTGTTCATCATAACTACGAAAATATTGATTGATTGTGCATTCACTATAGAAAATGGAACACAACAAACATGGCAATGTCCTCTATCTCCAGTACTTTATTTGCTTCAACTTACCATGTCTACTGCAAGATATTGAGCTATCATAACATCACAAGAATCTAGCAGCTTATGACACATATACAAGTCATTCATGATTTAATAAAATAAAAAATTTAAAAAATTAAATTGTTAGTTACTGATTGAATAAATTCTCTAAGACATGCATATATGTCAACCATATTCAAAAAATAAAAGCTAATTCTAATTTGAGCGGTTAACAATTTTAAACTAATTAACTGATAAGAAACCATACGTAATAAATAAAAAGTTGTTCATTGTAGAAAAATTAAAACATACCGAAGTTCAGTTCATACCATACGAAAAAAAAAAAAAAAAATCTAGCCAAATAAAAATGACGGACTCCAATCTGTTGCAACCCCTTCTCTGTTGGATGATGCTAATTGCGGTTGTGAACCTGTGTGTCTTGAAGGAGCCCAGTCTAAAGTAACAACCTGCTCTTCATTAGGGAAAGTAGGTCTTGGTAGACTACCGGCTCCTCTTGATGGCTCTCCCTGCCAAGTATTACGTAATTACTAAATCTCAACATATAATAAATAAATGTTCTAAAAAAATTAAGCTCACCTCCTGGTTATCCCTTGTAGTTTTACAAGTTCGTTTGTTATGACCAAGATCGCCACAATTTTTACATTTTGTTGGCCCGTATCTTCTTTTAGCTTTATGAGCTTTCTTATCTTCAATCGGGTCCTTTCCTCTCAATTTCTTCGGTCTACCAGCAGGCCTTGTATAACGAGGGGGTAAAATAGGTTCGCGATCACTTTTAGGCCAAAAGTGAGGACCTGCCATAGGATATATGCAATAACCATACGTCTTCAGAAAGGTCTCTTTCTTGAAGTACTCACTTACGTAATCTTCATGCTTTCCACCAATGTTATCTACCGCAGCCATGACATGCTTGCAAGGAATTCCCGATATGTCCCATATTCTACAAGTACATGTATGTCTCTCAAGGTTCACAACAAACTTTTCATGCCGACGAGATACCTCAAAGATGGATCGCTGCAAATCTCCACATGGAATTGCTGTCCAAATTTTGCTATCCATAATTGAAGCATTAAGCTTTTTTAGGACATCTGGGCATATTGCACAATGATTTTCCCTCATTTTTTCACCCTTTTCAAACATCTTTCTCATTCTCTGGGTACGTATACCCTCAAGTAATGAAATAATTCCACCACCACGATATTTTAAAATTGAACTATTGAAACACTCAACTATGTTGCTCGTAATTGCAGTGTTCTTGACATGTGATTGAAATCCTGCTTTGCTCCACCTCTCCATACCAATTTTAGTTAAATGTTTCCAAGCCTCAAAACGAATCTGTTGCATTTGATTCATTTGAATATCATAATCGACGATGGTGGTGGCATTTACTGCTGCCCAAAAGATATTTCCAGTCTGGCTATCCTTCCATTTCTTCTGAAAATTTCGAAATAAGTGCAAAACACATAACCTGTTGTATTTTGATGGATAAACATCATCCAAAGCTGAATTCAGAGCCTGCCAATGAGAGTAATCAGAATCAAATTGTTGGAACTAGAAAATTTACAAACATCTGTAATAAAAATCAACTTCTTAGAACTAGAAAAATTAAAAGCAACTGATTATGGTTATGATTAATTTTTTGGCAAAATGATATAATTATTCAAAAAACATACTTATTTATAATCTTAATACAATTTAAAGAAATACTTAATCAAAATCAATTTTCATACAATTAAAAAGAAAGTTGTAAACAAAAGTAAAAGGACTTACCGACCCTTGGTCTGAAATAAATGTCCATTTCTCCCCGCGGGGAGAAATATCTCCAATGTCTTTCAACAAATTATGCAAAAACCAAGACCACGTCTCTTTAGACTCTAAAGGAACTACACCAAAAGCTATAAGAAATAGACCGTTATTCCCATCTTGAGCTACGGCCGACAAAACTTGGCCCCGATGATATCCCTTTAGGAAGCATCCATCAATAGCAATCAACGGGCGACATCCTGATAAAAATCCCTTTTTACATGCATCAATGCATATATAAAGTCTTTCAAATCGAGAAGGATTTCCTGGAGCTGAAATCTCAAAGGTAGTTCCGGGATTAGTTCTCAGTAGTTCCTCTCGGTAATCCCATAATTTCGCGTATTGGTCATCTTGATTACCGTCGATAGAATGAAGGGCAAGGTTTCTAACTCTGTATGCTTTAGATGTGCTGATTTTCACATTGAACTTCTCAGAAACATGATCTTGCAACTCCAGTGTAGTCATATTCGGAAATTTACTCAAGTCTCCAGCCACTTTTTTGCTCAGCCATTTGGCATCTACGAACCTAGCTTTCATTCTTCCTTTCTTACAATTATGTTCTTCATAGTATGTCTTCACCTCATAAGTTTCAAGATGACCAACTTTGGAGCAAAAAATTAGCCATGGACAATCATCCAAGCATTTGGCTCGACACCTTTTATTATCTTTCCTCGTAAACGACAACTCGTAGCCGTTATGTACAGCATAACTTTTCACCATCTCATAAAAATCATTAATGGAAGAGAATTGTTGTCCCAATCGAAAAGTTACTTGTCCGTTCCCAATCTGATGACATTTTGATTGCACTTCGTTATCACTATATGATGAATAAGAGTCCGAATCTCCTATTGTTCTCAACTGGCTGCACGATTTTATGGGTCCACTCGACGAATCACTAGCATCACCTAATTGATCTTGTGATGGCTCGCCAAGTTGGATCTCCGGATCTCCATCATTGATGTAAAACGTTGAACCAACATTACCATTATAAGAGTTTTGCATGGACATCTCTGTTAAAAATAAAATAAAATTATAATAATTTCTATCAAACATCTTAATCCAAGATAAAATAATTCTAAATTCAATAAAAGCAATCTTGTATTAAGTACACAATCACACGAATAGTTTTGTGCATGGGAAACAAGAGAGAAAAGAGTAATCCTCCATCAATTTAATTTGTATAATATCCATGGCAAGAACTGAATAAAAACTGAAAGCTATACAATATTTTTATAACCCAACAAACAAAAGCACACGTTAGTTAGATTATAGTTAATGAAGAAATATGACATGTGCAAGGAAAATTAAAGGTAAAACTTGCGAAACATGAAAAAATAATGGAAATTGAAATTCAAATTTCATGCCTTAAAAAATTAGAAGTGAAACAGATTGCTCACTTCAATTTTCAAAAGGTTTTACATGAGAAAATTCTACCTTTGCTCGCTCTCGTTCGTCCGTCTAGCAAGAGAGGGAAGGCCTGTAATCGCGAAAATCGCAGCGAAAGTGAATGGGAAGCACCGTGGGTTGAAATTTAAAGGGCTGCAATAGGAGGTTTTGAGAGTAAAAAAAAAACTGTTCGTCTGCTTCTTTAAAAAAAATAAGAAAAAAAAATTAATATCATGTTTAATTAACTGTTAAGTAACAGTGTTAGTAATAAGCCTTAATTTAAGAGTTAAAAGATAAATATGAACCCTCAATTAAGAATATATAAAATTTGAGATCTTGTATTGAAAAAGATATAAATTGAGGCCTTAATATGATAGAATACTTAAAAGTTGAGCCCTATACTAGAATTTTCCCTCTATTTGAGTCTATTAAATGACAACAGTCCCCATCTAGCGGCCTGAGCATTCGCCTATTCTGTTTTCTGATTTTTCGTTTGAGTCCATATTTGAGGTATAATGGCTTAAGCCTTGCTCCATGCAATTAGACAAGTATTTTTGTTAATTTTAAAAATGAGAAATGATGAATTTGAGTGGGATATGATTTTATATGGATTTATTGAGTTACATGGCTAGAAAATAATAATAAATCGTGAATTAATCCAAAAATTATGATTCTGATTTATAAATCATAGCTTGATGTCTTGAGGCTTAGGTTAAAATTTGGTGCATTTTGGAGTTTGTTTCTTATGCGAATAGATTTTGTGGATTTGGATCGATAATGCCCGATTTTAGCTAAAGTTAGAGAATTTATTTAGCCGAGATATTTTTACCAAAAATCATAAATATGTTGAAGTTGCTGTAGTTAAATTTTCATGATTTTGAAGACCGTTTGATATGGTTTAAAATTCAGAACTTTAGCCTTATTTTGTAGTATTTTTAGAAATTGTTCTGGTTGGGATTTAGCTGCAGTTGTTAGATGTAAAATCATAATAAATTATGTTGAACCTAGGGTTAAAGGTTCGGCTTAAAATGAGTAGGTTTAACTGATAGTAAAAAACCCTAGTTCGGCCTTTTGACACCAGGTAAATTTCCAGATTCGAGTAAATTTTTAAATCTGAGTTCCACCTAGCAAACGAGTGAATGGTCGGTTCCGATCGATCCGCCGGTATAGTTCAGTCGAACCAGTTTGGGCAATCTGGACGGTTCGTGAGATTTACAGTTCAGCCGAACTAGTCCGGACGGTTTGTGAAATTTTCAGTTCAGTCGAATCAGTCTGAATAGTTCGGACGATTCGGGAGTTACAGTTCGAAACATCGGTTTGAACGTGAACCGAGATTTCAGTATTTTTCGAACCAAGTCAGATTCAGGTTAAAGCAGACAGAATAACTCCGGATAGTCGAGCCTAGCCAGTACAGATAAAGCTAGATTAAGTTTTAGTCAGAATACAGTTTCAGACATAGAAATATTTCAGAAAACTCTAGAAAGCCTCAAGACAATAAATTTATCAAATCAGCTCGTTAATATTCTAAATTAAGATTTAAATGATTTTAAAATTCAGCGAGCGAACCTAGTAAGATCAAATAATAAGATTTAAGTTTTTCAGATTAAGCTTAGTACTTAGAATATTTTACTCAATTATTGTGTAGCTTAAGGAGAGTCGAGCATCCGACAGCTACCCTTCATCCGGCACTTGCGTACCAGATTTATGGGTCACGTACTGGGACCATATCCGATGTATGTATGAGTAAGTTCTATCAACGAGAAGGGAGGCCTAGTGGGCCTTAATGACCCCTTCTTGGTTCCAGTTATATCGCCCAGGCGGGAGGCGAGCTGGCCTTAATGTTCCCCCCTAGGTTTTGAGGGAGGCGAGCTGACGTTAATGTTCCCTCAGAGTGTGCACCCAATTTACCGGCACAGCCGCCAAGAGTTAGTATACAGTTCAGATCATTTCAGTTATTTTAATGCTTAAGTAATGATATTGTTATTATAGATGTTTTATTCAGAAACGATTTATGTAGAGCATAGTTGTTTTGCTCACGCCCCCACTACTTTTTTTTAGGCGACAGAGTCCAGCATGGCGTGTGAGCACTCATGGTGGTCGTGGTCATGAGCAGTGGACATTTTGACATGCATTTTATGTCATGCATTATGAACATGTAGTTTTTAACTATGCGTGTTTTTATGCTTTAGCTTCTGCTTATTATCAGACCTGGTATGAGATTATGATATTTCAGACATGCATGTGTAATACTTTTATCTCCATGGTACCTTTATTAAATTGATTTGATTAGGTGACATGTATTATTAAGTCTGTATGACAAAGAGATGAGAGCGCCAAGTTTGAGTAGCACCCCGCGAGCCAAATATAGCATTTTTTAAAATAAAAAGTTAGCGTTTTTTGAAAATAAAAAGCAAAAATTTAACTCTATTTTTCATAAGTCTAGTTATAGAAGACGGAGTGATACACACTCTCTCTCTCTCTCTCTCTCTCTCTCTATCCTAATTATCTCTATAATTATTATTAAGAGAATAATATTAGAAATTCACGAACCAATCAAATTGATTTTTTTTTTCTAAGACCCTCTCTTTCCTAACACCTATAAATATGAGCTCTCTCTAAGGTCAAAATCACAATTCATACTCAAGTTCACACATTCCAAGTTCCAAGTTCAAGAGCTCTATAAAATTTCCTCAACAGATTCAAGTGTTCTTGAAGATTCAAATGATTTCTTGAAGATTCAAAAGAAGATTCAAGCGCGTTCAAGCTCAAGACCGATGTTCAATCCGAAAACAAGTTGTCAAGCCTCCGAATTACGTTATTAAAGTCAAGACCGACGTAGAGAAGATCGAAGATTGACTTTACATCGAATACCACTGACTTTTGTTCTTCATGTTCTCGAAAAATCATTGCGTTCGATTTTAATACAAGTCTCGCACCCTGACCGGCTGGAAATCGCCCTAAGCTTGCTCTCCTCGCCTGTTGAACGCGGAACCTGCACGAAACTCCCACACCGGATGTGTTTTCCGGTGAAGAGCCTCTAACGCTCAAGTCAGATCTTGAGAGATAATATGAGTGTATGAAAAAGTATAAGAGTGTATGAGATTGTCCTGAAAATGAAGATTCTCGCCCTTATTTATAAGGGCGAGTTACCTGAGCTGCACACGCGAGCAAGGCGAGTTCGGCTAATTGTCTTCTGCTCGTCCGTACAGCCGCGCGCCTCCACTATCCTCGGTGTCAGAAAACGCGTCACCTTTGTCAGGGAATGTCAGAGTTGGTTATGGCTGTTGACCACTCATAGTCCGCCGCGTGTCCTCTTCCTTACGTGCTGGAGATTCCCTTGTGTGCTCCTATGCTCTACCAGTTCTGTACGTCTATGCCTCCTCGATCGTCCTTCCTCGACCATATCCTCAGATGACTTGTATTTGTCGACCACTTCTGATCTTCTTAGTCGTCGCTATCTGCTCGATGTTCTAGTGGCCGGTGTCTGGTCCTACTCAACCATGCCATTCGATCCATTCTTACTTAGGTAGTCCAACAAACCAGTCGATCTTCTTTGATTAGCCCTGCAAACCGGTCCAGTATATAATATCCCATATCATCTAGTCCCCCCACTCTGGTCGAGTCTGAACGACTAGATCTAAGAGTAGGCTTTGGTCTGTATCGAGGAGGTTCTGTTGCTTTGTCTTCGACCACCTGACCCATTTTCTTCTCTGGCACTTTTGTTCTCCTTTCTAACCATCACTTTTCGTTTTTTGAACTTCAAACTCCACTACTTTATGCTTTTTGAATTTCAAACTCCGCCACTTATCCGCTTTTTGGGACGCGTCTTTTCATTTGCTCAGGACTAATGATGACCTCGTGGCCCGTGTTACCTCGATCCTCGCGTCTACTTACGCGCCCCTTCTCCTCCTGCCGTTGGATTTCATGCTTTAATCCTACGGTCGGCCATTCCTCTCTGCCCTTATAAATACCCATCCTTGAGGAAACTTTTCCTTTTTCTTCACTGCTGCATATCATCGTATTAGGGCTTTCTGCAATCGTCGAGCATCCTGCAACCTTGAGTCCTCCGTCTTTCCTGCATATTCTCCACTGTTCGCCATGAGTAAGTCTTCTTTATCTTTTTCTCAAAGTATTTTCCTCGAATTTTTAGTTTTACTTGTTTCTCCCTTTTTGCTTCCCCTTGCGCCCTTCTCCTCCAATTCCTGTTCTTCCACTGTGCCGTGTTCTCGCCCTTCTTCTTTTCTTTTCTCTTGTTTTCTTATTAATTGAAATTTTTCTTCTTTTTCTTTTCTTCCCCCTTTTCTCAGATTCCGCTACTTCGAGTGAAAATGATCGGCACAGTGGCAAGGACCTAACCTCTCCTTCCTCCTCCGCAACTCTCAGTTAATCGAGCGATTCAGTGCAAGAAATTCTTCAGCCTGAGCCCCTTTCCGTCCTTCCCCCTGCGACGACCAGTGATAGCCCCACAGCCACTGCTCTCTCTCCCTCTACCTATCTTGTCGACCAACCTGAAGACGAGGTCACCAGCTGCCCTACTTCTCCTCCCTCCGAGCGTGCTCGTCGAGCTATCGGCCAGGATGACGAGATTGAAGACGAGGACGATCCTCAAGACCATGTCCCGCTGTCTACTCGCGTTCCCGTTTCTTCGACCATGCTCTCTCATTCCCCTCATCCTAAGCCGTCCAAACGGTCCAAACCCTCTAAACCGTTGACGAGTGCTTCTCATCTCGACTTTGATGCGATTGGCCATCCTGGGGCTGCTCGCACTCCCGATGACGATGATACCTTTGATAACCCTCCTGAGGGTTATTACACCTTCTTCCGTGCCCATTTCGACCTAGGCCTCCGTTTCCCCATCTGCCCGGCTTTGCTCGACTTGTGCGGTCTATACGGCCTGCCTCTCAACCAAATCACCCCAACGCTTTTAGGACATTAGCGTCCTTCATTATTTTGTCCATAGTCCGCATGGGTAGAGTAGATTTAGACTTTTTTGTATACTGCTATTTTGCTTCCAAACAGTCAGACGGCCTCTATTTGAAAAGCCGAAATAAAGCCTGTTTTATTACTGATCGACCATCCAATGTGCCGAGGTGGAAAGATCAGTTTGTGTATATACGCCCTCCGCAGCCTTATCCTTGGGCACCCATTCCTTGGCTCACCGAAGTACCCATAAAACCTGCTCGCCCTGCCGCTAACCCTCTTTTCGACCGACGCATACAAGTGTGGACTCCAATCCCGTTGCTTCTACTCCTTTGCTCGGAAATGATAACCTCCTCCACTATTGTGGAATTTTAACTCATAAGGCGTTTTCACTCCCTCTCGCCAAGACCATTCTCCAGATCCGCGTTGACCCCAAACTCGCTGAAATTAATAAGACAGCTCGAGCAGGTGCTCGAGTCATCCTCATGCCTTAGATCTGTTTAATGCTATTGATAAACTTCTAACTAACTCTATTATTCGCGCAAAGGAATTTTTGCATAAGCCGGACTTGAAGAAATCTGGTGATAAAAGGTCTGTTCATAGGGACACTCCAGTCAATGTCGAGAAGGCCAGAGGCCAATCTTCAACCAAAGACGTGCCTTCTCGTACAGAGAAGCCTGGCGTCGGTGCCTTGTCCCATTCAAACCGACAACGAGCTCCTCCTTCTCCGCCTAGGCAGGTCGAGCCTCATTCCACCCACTCGTCCAAGGAAAGCGATGCTTCGAGGAAGCGCCCTCACGCCGAAGTAACTGGCCCACTTTCTACCAATCCTCCGCCTTCCCCCAAGCGGTCTCAACTCGAAGGGGCTTCTTCGGGAAATCCTCTTCCCGTATATTCTTCTCTCTCATTGGTGTCTGCCAGCCCTCGAGAGACTGTGTCTCGACTGATGAGCTTCCTACCATTCGACGATACGCATCGCTGGGGAGTGAATTGTCGTAATCAGGCCGAATACGGTATTCATGCAGTGACACAGGTACATTTCCTTCTTGCTATTATCTTCGAGCGTCCTGCCTTGTGTTGTACTTATTTTTGTTCTTTCTGCAGACTCTGGTTTCCATCGTGCCTCTCCTCGAGGAAACGATGAATGGCACTGGTCGCCCAATTCCCGTGATTGAGGGCGACAATAGGCGTCTCGAGGAGGAGAATAAAAGACTGAGGGCTGAGAACGAGGACCTGCTCAAGACGCGCCACGCCTTGTTAGAGCAGCTGAAAAAAGATGAGCAGCGATATAAGGATGCGCTGCAAGGCAAAGATAAGGCTCTCGAGGTAGAGCGGGCTGGTCGAAAGAAAGAAGTCGAGGCCGCTGCTATTACTGCGATCGAGCAGTCCCGTCGAGCCTTGTGGAGGACCCAAGTCGGTCAAAATTTCCTCAAGGCTTATCGGGAGCAGTTGATCAAAGATTATCTATGCTCGACGGCTTTCCTCAAAGAGGCTGCTGAGATGGGGATGGACTTCTACACCTACATCATGGAGGAGGTCGAGCGCCAGCTGAAGGAGATGGGGTTTACTGGCGAGATTGACCAGGACAAAACATGGGAAGCGATTCCCTCTGCTCCTTCTAACTTCACCGGTGACCCCAGTTTGCCCGCCGACCATCCTTGGTGGGCCGCGTCTTTGGAGAGGGCCTTAGCGGGGGATCCCTCTTTGAAGAGCTCGTTCGACCTACCTAGGCCTGGCGAGGCGCCCCTGGTCCGTCTTGCGGTGGCCGTCCTTCCTCCACAACCTTTGACCACCAACGCTCCCTCGTCCATCTCTCAGCCGTCTGCCTTGGCCCTCGCCCATTCTGTTGCCCTCTCCGCTTCAAGTGCCGCCTTGCACTCGACCAGCCTTGCTTCTTCCTCCTCCACGATTGCTTCTTCGACCGCAGCGGCTCAGTTGGGGTTTGCTTCTTTTGCTCCATCGACTACCAGCATTCAGTCAACTGCCGCTGCCGCGTCCTCAGCCACTGTCGCCAGATCTGCGTCTGTTGCACAAGCTTCCGCTGCCGCCTCATCTTCTACCACTGCTGCTCAGTAAGCTTGTGTCGCTCCCCCGAAGTAGTTTTAAGTGCCTTGGCAATGTATCTTCATGTTTTATTTTCATGTGATTTGTAATCATGTGTTCGTAGTGAAATGAAAGACCTTAATATGCTTTTCTTTGTGTTGTGTGCTGCTTTCGTTCTCATTTATTTGTGCTGTTTTTTGTATCATGATTCCTTGTGGATGTGTTGATGTGTGCTTCTTACGAATTATACTGATTATCTTTGTTCTCGATGTCTTTCACAATTCACAATTAAACGTCGCCCCGACATATAATAAACCATAATCATTACTCGCTGCTCTTAACCAAGTACGAGCCATAAAAACGTAACGTAATCAGTTGTCACCCAATTGGTCATCGTCCAATATGTTGAAGTGTGCTCCTTGTGAAGGACTTTGGTTTTGTCACTTGCCCACCCTAAGGGATGTTCCGAAAACATTGTGGTCGTCCAGCCCGGAGGCGTGAACGTTGTCGACCACATGCCCACCCCTTAGAATGTACCGAAAACAAGCGACCTTCGCCCACCCCTCGATCGGGGTGTTCCATAAACAAGGGAGGATCTACACTAGGGCGAGCCTAGGCAATTGCCTAGGCTCAACTTTTTGTGCTAACTACACATAGTTATATGAGTTAATTAAAATTTTATATTTGATATATGTAAAAATATTAATACAAAATTTTATTTAAAAATTTTAAATAATTCTACAAAACAACATAATTGTTTTATTTAAAATGATACACCTCACCAGTCGGATTCGACGATATTATATTAGAACATTTTTAGTACTTATACCATATAATAAGATTGAGAGATAAATTTATTGTTTTTCAATTGTAATTGATAAATATTTAAATCTTTATTGATAGAGATTAGCTAGATATAATTATTTTAATTTACATATAGAATATGAATGTCAAATTATACCTTGTCAAATTTTAAGTTATATATATATATAAAAAAATGATAATATATGCAATTATTTTTACGAATTATGTTACCCAAGCGTTTAAACTTGAAAGTTCTGGAAAAAGATCCATATTTATATGAACTATTTCGAATCCTTTGAAATTACATATAGAATTACAAAACATTGGAAATTGACAATGAAAGCTCTACATTAATATAAAAAGATAATCTATAAGAAAATCTTTATAAAATAACATGAACAAAAATAATGACATTTAAGTTTTTTTAAGTTAATAAATTATATTTCAAAATGACTTGTTTATTTCCCATTACACAAAAATGAAGGAAAAATGATTGTAAAATATTTTGGTATATTTCTTAATATTAATAAAAATGAAAAATATAATAACCAAAATAAAATAACTAGACCTTATTCTCAATTTTATTTTTTAGCATCAAGTCAAAGGCAAATTGAATAGGGAACCTCTCATCACCCAATTGTTCCGACGATTTATTTAATTGTTAATATAAGTACTCTGTGCAATATGGTTAAAAAAAATTTGAACTATTTCTTGCCCTTGCTCATAAAAATGTCTGGATCCGCCGCTGTCCATAAACGAAGGACTTTGGTCTTGTCACTTGCCCACCCTAAGGGATGTTCCGAAAACATTATGGTCGTCCAG